TTCTTGCTAAATTTCAGCGATATCCGCTTGTCTGTTCCGGAGATATATAGTAAACAAGATCCATACATCTAAACTTGTACATATTAGTAGATAGTCTATACTAATATTATAAAGAGGAAAGATTTGTATTTTTGTATGTATTGAAATAACTCAATAACTACTGGTCCGATTTTAAAAATTCTTTCACCGTTAGAAAGGTAATTTATCTGCGAGTAACATAGGCTATATTATTTCATGTGGAAAAAGTCCCGAGCAACAGCTAGTGTTATAATATAGTGATGAAAATGATGCAGTTTAGAGATGGTCCGCGTTAGGTTAATAAATAACGGTTCATTCTGAAGTTCTCCACGTCATAGTTAGATAGAAAAACTGACGCCGGCTTGTTTAAATCTACGATATTAAATTCTTACCAGCATCAGCGCAACAGCGCTCGATACGGAGATTATTATCTGGGCTATCGAATACCGATAACTCGTACATCGATATGTCGAAATCTATATCTGTACTAATATTATAAAGAGGATAGATTCGTATTTTTGTATGTATTGAAATAAATCATTAACTACTGGACCTTTTTGAACCGATTTTAAAAATTCTGTTTCTAATTAGTTTTTGGTTACCGTTAGAAAGATAATTTTTAATATCATCCGGGCTAAGTCGCGAGCAACAGCTAGTATAATACAGATAATATAATATCGAAGATTCTAAGTATATGTAAGTATTGTTCCAGTCTTCAGTGTTTTGCAACTTTTTATGTAAAATTAAGAAATTATACTATCGTACTCATATTTTTAAACGGTCTCCCTTAGTGAACAGTTAACTTTGCCAATCACACTATACCAATATTATAATTGCGAAAATTTAGGTGGATGGATGGATATTTATTAGAGTTTGTAGCCTAAACAGCTTAACCATGGAATTTGGTATAGATGTACAGGATAGTGTGGAAAAAACACACGCTACTCGATTTTGTTTTTTTTTTAATTCCAAGCGGACGAAGTATACACGGACGGTATATTGTTGATTTTATTCCTGTAATATTTCTGTAGTAATAAATTCTATAATTTTGATTCTATAAAGTGAATTATTTAGTAGAATGGAATTTATATTGAAAATGTATTATCAAAAGATATTAAACGTAGCGACCTTGCGGCCCGTGCTCGCTGTAATGTAACATTCTATTAACAAAACATTTGACCTTCCTTTACTTAATAGTTTACTTAGATTTAAAATTAACTTTAGTACACGCTTATAGATATTCATACTTTAATCTATCAATTATAACCTCAATAAGAAATCGGTATAGCCCTTTAGGCTACAGAATGTTACCGTGGAATTCCAACGCCGACAAATTATTCCAATTTTTAAATTAATTCCACACGTCAACTGTATGTGTTTGGAGCTGATTTTCTTTACCGTATTACACTCTTCTCTCTGTCTCTCTCTCTCTCTCGACCTCCCTTCAGGAAGAATACGAATCTAATGACGTCTTAATCGTCAAAAACATTTCTGTTATTCACAATATAATATACATACAAACAATGTCAGTTACAATAATCAAAATGAATTTACGCGGCAAAAAACCTTAACCTCTTTGTCAGTTTATATATTGTATCATAGATATTTATGTTTATTTATGTATAAAAACATCATTGTTATCCAAACTAAGCTCATTACAATACTGCCAAACATATGCAACTGACGCAAGTGTATTGTGATACCAAAACGTGTTGCAACATTTCGTATAATTCAATCGTAACGTTAGATACTTGAATAAGTAAAATAATACTATAATATTTTTAAATCTCTCTTCTCTTAATAAATTTTTTTTATTTTATTTTTTATAGCCAACATAAGCACCGTTTAAAGAATCTACATTTAGCAAAGTATTTAATACGCGTAATTAATTCTGTTGTAAATATTGAAAGCGTGAACACCTTGAGGCAATCGTATGATCATTCGTCATTTCCGACAAGAAATTCATTGTGATTAACCGCGAGGTTGTTTAGTGCGCACGTCACGACGGCATGGCGTCGCATCACAAGTGGATAAACCGTTAGCCATAGAGCATAGAACGTTGACCATAGAGTGTAGTGTCATAGAGCTGTCGTGATCTAGAGTATGGTGTCGTCATCACCGCGGGCGCAGGCTCGCTCGCAGCATGACGTTGACCCAGAAAGAATAAAAGCTTATTCGGTAAGTATTGTTTGCTCGCAACATGTTTTCCCACGGTCTGCTGCTCTTGTTTTGTGACATTATACATTATATCCTAGAAATAAACAATAAAAATGTTACTAACCTCGATATGAAATCTAGAAAAAAAATCATAGAGTAAAGCCCAGCGGCCATTGAAAAGCAGCCTTTAATGAGGCCACTGGTCCTTAATTTAAAAAGTTACATTTATTTTTTCTCTACAACTTCAATTGTTTTAATATATTTAGCCTGCAGTAATTTTTACGAACCATAGCATTTTAAGGGGGTTAAGATGGGGAGTTAAAATCGGACTTCGCATTGAATGCAAATGGCAACACTAAAAACAAACGACGTCAGACGTCATTGGCAAGAAAAAGTCAGGGATGGAAGTAATAATAGGGAGGAATCGCAGGCAGTAGTGTCCGCTCCGCTGGCATCGTTCATTGCACACCGGAATGTCAACGCTATAAAATATGCTTCACTGGACTGGCAAGGTGACCTTAGATATTCACAGATTGTAACATTGAATAGTGTTCTGAACTGTGTCAAATGTTTAAGAATTTAGGTATTTAGCGTTGAGAACAAGAATTTTTAACTGTACAGTTAGACAGTTAAAATTCTGCTTACAAGCACAGATTTAATTGGAATTAATCTTGTTTGTAACAGCAAAAATCATTCAAACAAAATTTGCTTTACCGACAAATAAGTACATCTCCTAACTGGAAAAACCGCAGTCTATTTTAACATTCTGTAAGAACTCTTCGTTATTTATACAATTAATAAATTAAAGCGCGTTTTGCAGCGCTCGGGCGATGTTCTCTGTCTCTCTCCCACAGCTAGGGTTCACACAAATTTTAACAAATTATCTTACCATGGTAATGAATGAATGATAAAAATGTTTTACAAAATCTTTCTACTATCAACCCTAAACACAATAAAATTATTAATTTATCTATTTATATCTATGCATGTAAAAAGTAATTTAGATACATTAGGAAAATTCAGATAATAAAATATAAGACGTAACAAGTAATGTTTGCATAATTTTTTTGGTTATATTTCTCTGCATTTAACGAACTGTCTGAATCTGTTTTTTTTTTTTTATCAGAAAGGTCTTAAAAAAGTTTCAAGACAAAAATGTCTTCCATAAGTTGACATCCCTAGCCAAAGCATTTAGTGACGCAAGTGCACTGACGTCATATGCCTATTGCCGTCTCTCTCACACGCTAAGGCTTTGTTATAATATCGCTACAAATAAATCTTCCTTTTTATTTATTTAATTGTATTTAAATTAATCATTATAATGAAGAAAGATTTCAAGCATTTTTCACAATTACATTACAATAGACTATATTTTTTATTCTACGCGGACGGTCGCGAGTGAAAGCTAGGTTTATGAAATGTTAATGATATACTTAGTCCTCGATTAGAAAAGATGACCTTAGAAAACGTATAGAAGCGTTCGAGATGTGGGCCTATAGGCGCATGTTGGCCATAAGCTGGACTCAGAGAATGACAAACGAGGAGGTTCTGCGACGAGTCCACCAAAAAAGGGAACTTTTGCAGACCATCAAGATGAGAAAAGTATCGTATCTCGGCCACGTGCTCAGGCATGACAGATATGATCTCCTCCAACTCATCTTGATGGGAAAAGTTGCCGGCAAAAGGAGTGTTGGTCGTCGTAAGAAATCGTGGTTACGCAACATCCGAGAGTGGACAGGAATTGCGAGTGCCGCCCAACTGTTTCGCCTCGCAAGAGACAAGGTCAAATTTGGAGAACTGACCGCCAACCTTCGCTAGTCGGAGAGGCACTTTAAGAAGAAGAAGAAGAAGTCCTCGATTCATCTTCTTCCGAAGTTCGACGATCATTAGGGCGACTTTTGTTCTTGACACCGCGGCTCTGAAAAGTGAACGGGTGCTCTTTCCATACCACTGTCGTGAGTCTTCGATAACTGGTGATAAAAATTGATTTAGTATTTAATAAAAGAAACATAGAAAGTAATTATTACATATTTAATCTCATTTGTTCTAAGAAATGGGATAACAGACAATATACCTCATTTTTAGATATAGAAAACCGCAGTTAAATTTACGTTTAAAAACAAATAAATAATGGGTCTGATAACAAATATGCGAACGTAATTATTATATTATTTCATGTATTTGGATAACAAAGACATTACACAAGGAAGCCCCGTGGGTGCAATCAATTACAGAGGGAATGCCTTCCTCGGGCCGAATCGTGACGTCATCACAGTCTTAACTTCGAATTAAGTGTAAGGTTTCACTATGACTTTAGAATTATTGATGTAATATTAATAGAAATATGGATTACTCGCTGTTGCACGTGGCTTCGCCCGCGTGAAATTTAAAACAATATAAAAATCAACCAATGTAACTCACTGATAATGTAGCTTTTAATGGTGAATTTTTGAAATCGGCCCAGTAGTTTTTTAATTATTGCAATATAAAAATACTATATAAGTATAGATTCATCAATCGATGTTAGATATTTTTAATTTCGATTTTCAATTTTTAGCAAAGTTGCTTGTTCTGTTTTCTCGACCCGACATACTTATCAAAAATAATTTAGCAACCATTACGAGACACCATAGATTACAGACTTTCGTCGATAGTTAGGAGCAGACTGCACCGATTTGGTTTTACATGATTCTGATATCTATCGATTGATAAAAAGGGTTGTGTTGTTTTGTGATTCTTTACAAGATTCTATAACTTCCATAAAGGGTTTTACTACCCTTAAATATGTATATATTTAGTATATTCAAGTGTCCTTTTTCTTCCAGGAACAATTACGTCAACGTAAAGAGGCAGAGGAGCGGATCGCCGCACAGAATGAGTTCCTACGCACGTCGTTGCGTGGCTCACACAAGCTACAAGCGCTTGAGTCTACGCCCGCAGGCACCGCATTCGTCAATGATGCATACGAAGAGGATATCGACGAAATCTCACCATTGTATACAGTTGTCGGTAAGTAAACAACAACTAACTGTTGAACGCAATATTCAATCCTTAAGATTGATCCGAAAATTATTTTCCACTAGCTGCTCCCGTGCGGCTTCATCCGCATGAAATTGTGAACATTTTCATCAAAGTCAAATTATCAATTGCAAATGTCAATATGACATGACATTACAAACCTTGGCAATCTTGCTTCCTAGATGTTGGTAACAACTTATGGTCTCTTTCCCACATTAGTGCTTCTATCCAAAATAATTACCCCCTGAGTTTAATGGCGTGAAATATATAGCCTAAAGCGTGACGTAAGTGTAGGGCTTTTTATTGAAAAAGAATTATTCAAAAATATGCTGTGATAGCTGACATCTTAGGCAACAAAGAAGTGTGTGTTTACGCTTTATTATAATAGTATAGGTTAATAATAGTCAACAGTTAATGTAGTTTGCAATCAGGAAATCTTTTCAAAACACCTCTTAGCAGTAGAGTAAAAAACATCTTCACAATCCGTAAAGGTAAAAACTTATTAAAGTAAAGCTACTAATAAGCTTTAAGATAAGAAATAAAATCCAATTAATTATGTAGCTAAAGAATGAGCTCAGCATAAGAACGGACGTCTCGTCTCAATAACAAGACAATTAGTACTGAGAAAATTCCTTCACAACTAAAATATTGCCCTAGGAATTGTAACTTCAGCTATCTGTAAAAAAAACGTGTTTTTACACCATCGTTCATTTCATCACCTTATATTGATCTAGCTTTCGTTCTTGACTCCTCGTATATTAAAAAAAAAAAGTGAGTACCTATGTTTTCGTCCAAAGTATCCTTTACATTTGTACCAAATTTCATTGAAATCCGTTCAGTCGTTTAGGCTACAAACTCTAACAAACATCCATCCATGTAAACTTTCATTTTTTTTAAAATTTTTTTGGGCGGTGCTATGCCGCCCTCTTGTTCCCCTAGCATATTTTTGGGATAAGGACGTTGGATGCGGGTGGGATGCAATTTATCTAGGCAAGTTGCAAAGAGACGGTATTCGCGATTTGTAGATGATATTGACTTCGGTATAGTGTATTTAATAGCCGTTATCATTATAAATATGTAAACAATTCGTCATACTAGATATCGGCTGATAAGTTACGTGATGATAACCCATTTCTCGATAGCAAAGATAACAAATAACTTTTGATCTTATAATCATGGACTATTCAGAAAATGGTTTTTTTTTTTGGTTATTCAAATATTTAAATCTTCGCGGACATCAAATAATTAATCAATTGTAAATTGTCTAACAATCCAACGTGTAAAACATATGATGAAAATATCGGATTGTGTTCCCTTATCTGATGGTTACGTCATTTTTAAGTTAACTGCGCCTCTATCAGTCAGTGGTGGGACAGGCCCTTAACCATTATGGTTGATTTGTCAATTAATTATGTCTACAGATTGTTCCGAATTAAAGCAATGTTCTTTTATATAGTAGCTTTCGCCCGTGACTCTGTCCGCGTGGAAAAAATATCCTATATGTTCTTCCAGACTTTCCTCTACACTATACATTTAATCCGTTCAACCGTTTAAACTACAAACTCTAACAAACTCCATCCATCCATCTAAACTTTCGCATTTATAATATTAGTAAGATATTAAAGATTCTCGTTTCAATATAAATAGACAAAAGCCAATTTATAAGACTGCAAAAATAAGATCAATCTAAAAATTATATTAAGAAACTACTACCAACTCTTTGTAAACGAATATCCCTTTAATAATTTTTCTCTAATAATAAACTATTAATATATTTGTTATAGATTACGAGGATGTGATAGCGGCCCTCTCGCGGCTGCAATCTGCACTACAGGCGGCGGGCGCTGGGTGTGCGGGGTCGGCGAGGGGCGCGGCGGGCGCGGCCACGCTATTGGCGGCAGCGGGGAGCCCGCTACGCGCCGCACTGCGCACGCGCTCCGCCGTACTGCGAGTACGACCACTACCGCCACCTGTCGGCCGCGCGGGGGACAGGCTAAGAGATGTAAGTATAATTTAACTACTATAAGGGACTGTCCCGCCATTTTTCAGCTATCTGAGCCTCTATCAGCCAGTGGTGGGACAGGCCCTAACTTGAACAGCGGTATACGGAAAAACACTAAATTGCATGAATAAGTTTTAAGCACAAAAGACAGACGTCAAGTGGAAGTAACTCCTCTTTATTGTTTGTACGTGCCGGATGCCTAATTTCAGTCCCCTTTCCCTTCCCTCACATTTTTGTAAGGAAAAGTACCAACAGCAAGTACCAACCATTAAAAATGTCTTCAATTCCGTCCATCGTTCTGATTTCCATCAAACCTCACTCTGAGATTCGTTTTCTGATTTGAATTTTCCAATATTTAATACGATGCAGAGAGGGCGCCACCAGTTGACGACAGGCACGCTCTAAAACCGTCGCGTCTCACGTTATTACGAATTTTAAAGCCGCCCGATCCCCGGAGGAAATACTTTGATCAAATGTGCTTTAGATAGACATAAATATTCATTAAATCTCTTTGGAAATTATACTAATAAAGGTTTACTAGATTTCTAAATTAATCTATGAATAATAAATTTAAATATCAATCGAATTACTCGTATTAGAGTAAAATAATATTAGACTTATTACTTTTATTCTATACTAGCTGTTCCCGTGCGACTTCATCCGCATGAAATTATGAAAATTTCATTTTATTGTTTACATTTGTCAAATTATCAATAGCGAATGTTAAAATGACATGACATGACAAACCTTAGCAATCTTGCTTTCTTGATGTTGGCAGCAACTTATGGTCTCTTTCCCACGTTAGGGTTTTTATCCAAAATATTTACCTCCTAAGTTTAATAGCGTGAAAATATATAGCCTAAAGCGTGACGTAAGTGTAGGGCTTTTTATTAAAAAAAGAATCATTCAAAAATATGCTGTAATTGCTGACATCTTACGCAACAAAGAAAGAAGTGTGTGTTTACGTTTTATTATAATAGTATAGATTGTTACAATTAATATTGAGAATCCTTTAGTATAGATTTAATCACAGTTATCTGCACTTAAAGACTGCATAACCATTAACCGACTCTGAGTATTACAATAAATTGTATTTAAAAACTACATTAAGGTTTTTAAACATTTTGCTTTTTGATGTTTGGATGAATTTTGAAATTTATCTTGAAATCTCATTGTGCATGCATTACATTATATTGTAAAAATTTAAAATGCGTTTTGTATGTTTCCACTACTTAAACTCTCCTACAAAGTTTTTATCATATCTTTAAAGACAAAGTAATTATGACATAATTTTAAAATGATTTGCTTTAAAGTTATAAAAAAATCCTATTCAAAGAACCAAATCTCTCAATGTGACGTCACTTTACTTGAAAGTACTTATAAAACGTGAAGACATCTTAAGTAGGTTGTATGAGCTAAACGTAAAACATTCTTGTCATTTTATCTCAAGAATTCTTAAAGCGGGCGCACACCTTTGACTAAAATATCTCACAACTGTTGTGGGGTTTTCGATTGTGTCGCTGCTAATTCAGTTTTAGTTGTAAAAGTAAAAATCGAGTAGTGTGCACCATATACGCTCATAGGCTCATAGGCTCGTACGCTCTAATTTCCTGCAAAATACTTACGTATCGTATGATATCTTGTCAAATGTTTAAGACACGTCTCCACCTAGGGTCCTCTTGAGCTAGACTAACTAGACTTTGTGGCTTTGCTATGAAGTAGGGATTATTGAAGTTAAATTATGAATTCTTACAGGTCCATAAAGGGTGCTGTATCTGGTCCAAACTGTCTTGTCATCTCAGTCACTTCCTTCTTGATGTCACCTTCCACGCAATCCACCTCTCTTTCTGCGCCTACCTCTTCCAGTGTACCTCCACAATCATACTCCTATTTGATTTCCTAATACTTCCACGTGGTCGGAGTAGCGTGCGAAAGCCAGTATGTCCATACTATGCTAACCTTTTACTCTTGAGTCTTGTACTTTTTGTTATTGGTTGTTATTTTATATGATTTGTTTGTTAGTGTATAGACGCGCTGCGCCCCCTGGCGGCGGGCGACAATGCGGCGTTGGCGGCCGAGCTACTCGCGCTGCTGGGCAGCTTAGAGCTGGAGAGCTTGGCGCAGGCGCACGACCAGGCCGCCGCGCTGCTTGACCCCGCCTGCTTCTCCCGTAACAAGAGATTTAAGGTCAGCTACAACTGGTCACGTATCTTTAGTAGAATTTAAGTTCCTGGTAGAGACCATTGTTACTCTGATGTTATAAATGTTAGAAAAAAAATATTAAAAACCAAACTTCTGGTTATCAATTACAATAGTATTGAAATGTTACTACCAATGCCACCTGTCGAGATTTGTTTTAATCTTGAATTATTGACTTTCAGACTGGAAACGCAGATCACAAGAACGGAGACACGACGCTCGCGTCAGACGACGCCAGCGAACAGATCAAAATCATCAAAATAGAGAAGACTAATGAACCACTAGGTGAGATATCTATATGTGAAAAAGATAGAAAGAGAGTCCATTACCTAAACATTCATACAAAAAATGTCGACGTCCCTTAACTCCTTACTGACATAAATGCGAAAGATAAGATTTTACAGCCTAAATTATTGAACGGATCTCGATGAAATTTGGTATAGATGTAGAGGATAGTCTGGAAGACAGACTTACGTGTTTATAACCACGCCGACGGAATCGCGGGCGAAAGCTAGTTTTCTATTTCAAAACATATGTACCTATGTAGTATTGCCAGTAACAATTTAACCATATGCCTCAGGCTTGCAGTCACTAAACATTTTAATTCCATTTAGTGTAGCTCGGGGTGACGTAATTTAATCTTGCATGCACTGATATTACGTCGTAAACTAGCGACTAGTTATTTACGTGTAGATATAATCTGTTAGACCGTAAATATTTTGTTAATAATCAAAATACTGACAGCTTAAATGTAAATAATCGTATATTTGTAGCAAATTTACAATAGAAGGCCCTTTTTTGCGTAAGGATTGACAAAACTTTCTCACGAATATTTGCGATAAGCCTATTACAAGATCAATTACGTGATATGTGACAATACAAAAAAAAGCTGTTGCTCGCGATTTGGTCCGCGTGAAATTTTAAAATGTAGCCTATGTTACTCACTGATAATGTTGCTTAATAGCGAAAGAATTTGTAAAATCGGTTCAGTAGTGTTTGAGTCATTGCAATACAAAAATACAAATCTCTCCTCTTTATAATAATAATATAGATATGCAATGATTATTGGTGTAAGGTGGTGGTTGTTTAACTTGTTACCGACAGCGCGGCAGCCAAAATACAAAACAAAAACTATTATATGTACATTACAACTTTATTTAAACTAATTTACATAACTATTTACAATAAATAATTTCAAAACTATCGCGATCACATATTGTCTCTTGTGCGTTTCCTTTCCTTCTTTTGTTTTCCTATCTTTTTTTTAACAACCAAACCCCTTAAAAGTCTTGGTGGCCAGTATGCAACCTCTTTGGCTGTAGTCATACTACTTGTTAGCCAAGGAGGTTGTATTTTGTACTGAACTTTGTGTAACATGTTATATATGGTTTCCTTTCAGGTGCTACAGTGAGGAACGAAGGCGAGGCCGTCATCATCGGCAGGATAGTGCGCGGAGGTGCCGCGGAGAAGTCCGGTCTGCTGCACGAAGGAGACGAGGTGAAATATTCTCTTATTATTGATGGATTTTTAACTATAAATATTTTGCTTACAACGATTGGGTTGTTTTGCCTCCTGATATTTCGGCACAGTCGTCTGCGCCATGTTCACGGGCTGCTGTAAGAACCCTAATATTAGTAAACGCCACGAAAGTTTAAAGTTACATAAGATGCGACTTGTATATTCCAGTTACTGGAAGTGAACGGGGTGTCGATGCGAGGCAAGTCGGTGCACGAGGTGTGCCAGGTGCTGGGCGCGCTGGCGGGCACGCTGACGGTGGTGCTGGCGGCGGGCACGCGCACCTCGCAGCCGCAGCGCGCCGCGCACCGCGTGCTGCACGTTCGCGCGCACTTCGACTACGACCCTGAGGATGACGTGTACATACCTTGTAGAGAACTAGGTATGTACTATCAATGTACACTGAAATTATATCGTAAATCATACTAATATATACTAGCTTTCGCCCGCGATTCCGTCAGCGTAGATTTTAAAAAAACAAATGTGAGTAGCCAATGTGTTCTTCCAGACTATCCTCTACACCTATACCAAATTTCATCGAAATCCGTTCAGCCGTTTAGGCTACAAACTCTAACAAACATTCATCCATATAAACTTTTGCATTATATTAGTATGATATAAAAGCAAAGTTTAGATGGATGTTTGTTATAGTTATTTAGTTCCACGCGGACAAAGTCGCGGGCAATAGCAAGTGTGTTCTAAGTGTGGGTATGCTCGTGCTAGCAGCTGGCACACTTTTATGCAAACTACTGTAAAGTGTAACCTACAAGTGTCTAGCACCATATTTAATTATTTTTAGTGATTGATTGATTTGTAAGTTGTGGAAGAGGTCGAAAGGGGTACAAAGATTATCACATGTCTCGTCTTGTACGGTTTCGGGAAAATTTTACTGGAATGTGTATACGCATTGTGCCAGTAGCTGATTTGTTCCAGTGGCATGCAAGCTGCTACTCAATTTTACTGTACTCCCGCTCTAAAGAAAATAAGAAATGTTTCTAAATTTTGAATGTGCTGTTTCAGGCATAAGTTTCCAGAAGGGTGACGTGCTGCACGTCATCAGCCGCGACGACCCCAACTGGTGGCAGGCCTTCCGCGAGGGAGAGGAGGACCAGACCCTGGCCGGCCTCATCCCCAGCCAGGCCTTCCAGCACCAGTCAGTATACTAACTCTAATGCTTCGTTTTTTGACGTTATCTATAGTACAGTCAGCTGCAAAATATGAATACATTTACAAATTAAAGAAATATAAAATTTCGTTTCTAAAACGTTTGAACATATCTCTGTATGCTTATATGTTTGTTTTGTAACTCAATACTTGATATAATAAAACACACACTATGTTATGTAAGATATCAGTAATCACAGTATATTATTAAATTATAATTTTTAAGACTCTTTTCTATACTTACAACAAGCTTTAGAATATATATCTTCACGTTATTATCTGAGAAACGCTGTGAGAAAGACAAACCAATAGTATCGAAGCAAGGTTGCCATGGTTACTTAAATGCATTAATAGTACCTTCGTTGGTATTTGAACATTTACAATTTATGCTACACAATATACAAAAGACTTTACTTTACCATATAAGATACAGACTAGGAAAAGAGAGAGATAGAGAGAGAGAGAGAGAGAGAGAGAGCGAGTGAGTTTTACAATGTAAATCATACTTCATGCTAATGTTATAAATGTGAAAGTTTAGATGGATGTATCTTTATTAGAGTTGTATAGATGTAGTTAATACTCGTAGTCTGGAAGAACAGGCTCCTCACTTTTGTTTTTTTAATTTCACGTGGATAAATTTCCTTGCGAAAGCTAGTATTAGGAAGTGTTGACAATATGGTTCGGTAGAAGTCGCACGGTAGCAGGTAGTGTTGTAAATGCTGAGTGTGCAAGTTGTGCGCAGACGGGAGTCGATGAAGCTGACGCTGGCGGGCGAGGCGGCGGCGCGCGACAAGCCGCGCAAGGGCGGCACGCTGCTCTGCGCCAAGAAGCCGCCGCGCAAGAAGAAGACCAAGAAGGCCACCAGCGAGGCCGGCTACCCGCTCTACTCCACCGCCGCGGGGGAAGGTGACTACCTACCATCACTATTTCACAGGATAAATCTTGTTGATTTGTCACAAATGTAGAATATAGTCTGAAAGACCACATGGGTTTAGTAAACTAATTCGCAAGCTAAAACGAATTAGCTGCCGCACTCAGGGGTGTTTGATCACATTAGAAGTCTGATACTGTAGATTTGTTTTAAAATCATAGACCACATAGAGTAAATAGTAAAAACTAAAGTCATAAAAATGGGTCCTTCTTTAAAATCCATATCTAACTATCAGCAATAAGATGAAGCTACTAAAGATATAATCACTAAAATACCTTATTGTGATAGAAATCAACTCTAAGCAACTGTTAACATAGCATATTAATATTGTGTGTGTCTTAAAATGGTCCTTCCAAGCATGAAAATAGTACAAAAATGTTGTCATTGACGGTATTCCTCCAGAGTACGAGCAGGAGGAGATCCTGACGTACGAGGAGGTGGCGCTGTACTACCCGCGCGCCTCGCACAAGCGCCCCATCGTGCTGATCGGGCCGCCCAACATCGGCCGCCACGAGCTGCGCCAGCGCCTCATGGAGGACGCCGCGCGCTTCGCCGCCGCCGTGCCGCGTGAGTACACGCCAGTATGCCACATGCGACTAAAATGTTCAGGAGATCGTTGGCGACTCTTGTCTGTATCAAACTTGAAGTACAAAGTACTACCTTTCTCTCAACTAACATGAAGGTGTGATAAAATTAAATGTCGTGCCAGTTTCTAGAACGCTACTGGCATACAAGAATGGTTCGTCTCGAAAGTTCACTATGGCCAATTTACCTCCTCCCGGGCATATGGAATATATGACTTAAATATCGGTGAGACAAAGTACCAGTTATAGTGCGAAAACTTTCCTGCAAAGACAGCCTTTTGTACGACAAAATACGGTTTGACAAGGACCATAACATTATTCAAAATACTAAGGCGATTTTCCTACTCTCAATAGAAATACTGATAACGTGACTACTACGATACTGTCCGCTAAACACTGAAACTAATCTTACAAGCAGAACGACAACATTTATAAAAGATTTTGCAGCTTAAAAGACGTTTCAGTATTCTACCGTTAGACTCTTGACTCATGTGATAAGTATATCTGTAAAATAATACGTTAATAATAAATTGTGGGGTGGGCAGACACGTCGCGGCCGCGCAAGGATCACGAGGTGCCGGGGCAGGACTACCACTTCATCTCGCGCACGCAGTTCGAGGCCGACATTCTCAACAGGAAGTTCGTCGAACACGGAGAGTACGAGAAGGCATACTACGGTATGTAATCTATACAATAAATAAAATTGGTATCTCTGTATGTAATATCGCATAATCAATATTGCCGATAGCAAAACTCGATTTAAAAAATGTTGCCTGTCAGTCATTTATTTTGGGTAATCTCCTCATCGATTTTAATGGGACTTTCAGGGACAAGAAAAATGTTTTGACAAATGAACAGCATTACTCTGACAGTGAAAGTTAGAATGAATAACAGTTTAATGAGGTTTTTAATGTAACTAGGCACGTCCCTGGAGGCGATCCGCGAGGTGGTGAGCTCGGGCAAGATCTGCGTACTGAACCTGCACCCGCAGTCGCTGCGGCTGCTGCGCGCCTCCGACCTCAAGCCCTACACCGTCTTCGTGGCGCCGCCCTCGCTCGAGAAGCTGCGCCAGAAGAAGATACGCAACGGAGAAGCTTTCAAGGTCAAACAAGATCTTAATAATATATCCTTCCTTTACCCTTAATTCGACAGAGTTCTTGTAGCAAAAAACTTTTAGTAAAATTATATTTGTAGATATGAAATAAGTAAAGGAGAAATGTTATTTTATAATAGGCAGCTCATCTGCAGTTTCCTTGTTGTTGAGGATGTTCATGGGCGTTGGATGAATTAAACACAATCCGCTGCTCCTTTACTCCCCTTTTTAAAAATGCGTTATTTCTTACTAATACTATGAATTAGAAAGTTTGGATGGATCTTTGTTAGAGTTTGAACCGTAAACAAATGAATGGATCTCGATATTAGCATAATATGGTATAGTCTGAAAGAACACATAGACTAATTGCTCTTGTTTTTTTATTTCTACGGAGACGTAGTCGCGAACAAAGTTAATCATAAACATTAACTAGCGTGTTCTATTTTTCACAGGAGGAGGAATTAAAAGAAATAATAGCGACGGCGCGAGATATGGAATTGAGATGGGGACATCTGTTCGATATGATTATCATCAACAACGACACGCAGCGCGCCTACCAGCAGCTGCTCAATGAAATCAACAGCCTCGAGCGCGAGCCGCAGTGGGTGCCTGCGCACTGGCTCAAGCACACCTAGCGCACGCCAGCACGCCAGCGACAACACGCCAGCGCCTGCAAACCAACGCCCGCACACCAGCGACACTCGGCCGTACAAAAGAACGATTGTACGAATCGATTTATCGATCCTAAAGCCAATACATTTGCTCGCTTATTTGAACGAGCGCGAAACTCCGCCTGTCGATAGTGATGTGAACAGTGAGAAGTGAAGAAGTTTAGTGATGTGCTCCCAAAGCTACCTTGTTTGAATAAAGGTAAACGTTTGGATTTGAAAAAACCGGTTTTTCGCGAACCGATATTTGTGTAACGAATATTTCGAATTACGAAAATCGAAATGAATTCAAATGCACGGAAATGGAATTTTATTAACGGAAAGTTTTTTGATCATAATTTGCCGAATATTTTGTTTGATTATCTTATTTTTCCGTGTAAAATTTATTTATCAAAATTAATATAAGACGTAAAATCGAAGTATGATAATTTGTTTTTAAGCTGTAATGGATCAAATCAAAGTCTTCCGAATATTCCGCTTTGAAATATACCATTTCCGTGTAAATAAGAATGAATGAAAATGTAGGAAAAATTCAGTCATGACAGTATAATGCAATAATTCGCCCCGTGGTCTTATTCTAGGATTTAATAAAATGTGGTTATCTTGTATAGATAGCAGGTTCAAATAAAATTAATAACAAATATACTGCCTTATTCGTAAACGTTGTAAATTTAAACTGTTAATGTTTATTCATTTATCTAGATGAAAAAATGCGCATGTCCAAAAGTTATTAAACGCATATACTTTTCAAATTAAACAACACATTGGGATAAATTTTAAAAAGCAAACGATATTTAGTTTTTAGCAAATGACAAACTTTATTTTACAAACTTGAAAAGATATTCTTTGCAACTTCTGATTTTATTTCTCGTATAATGGTTAATTTAGACTGGATGTAGAAACAACCTTCTTACCTCGTGGTCTTTTTTTTACATACAGATGCTTTTTTCTTAACCGTAAATTTTAGTGATGTGCCTTTGATTAATTTAACCATAAACAATAAAACGGAATTTATAGTTTGATATAAAATAAGAAAAAACCTACTAACCATAAACTTGTCTATTGTCAAAATTTATACCGTAGAAATAAAAAATATAGAATTTTTCAAAAATCATAAGTAGATAGCCTTTGTGAATTTCTCTTTTTAAGACGAGAGATATTACTCTTTTGAATAGAAAATTTAAATCATTGAAAATTTGACTAAAATTATATCGCTATAATAGTGAGTAGAGAAGCAATATTTTGTATCCATGCAATCTCCTATACAACGACATATCTGTTTTTATATAGCAATTAAAAACGGCCAAATTAAAACTCCTTTTTGTCTAATATACTACTTTAAAATAAACATATTTTCTGCTTACATTATTCAATTTATATTGTATAACAAAAACTAATAGATATCCGTTATTTTACATTACGAAAAAACCGGTAATTTTCGAAAATAGTCAAGGTCATTTGAGACGTTTCGAAATTGCTTCTTGTAATTTTGTCACAAACTTTTGTCATTTATATTAGTAGGGATTTGTTACAATTTTAAATGTTCTATTCAATATTATATATTCTATATTTTATTGGATTGAATGAATTTTGTGATTATTTTATTGGAATTTTACCCAATCGTAGTTTTAATCAAATCAGAATTTATTAGAATCGATTACAATAATATTGCGATACTTAATTTGTTTATAAAATAATGTTTTAAAAACTATTTATAAAACAAGTTTATAAGTCCACGATTTATAAATTCAATTAATGTTTAAGTAGATAATATGCATTCCAAATGATTAGTGCCAAATGCAAAATGGCCGCGATCGATTGCGGATGTTGTATGGATTTTTCATTTGACATCACAATTTATAAATAAACAATGTTTATTTTTTCGTGTACGTAGTATCTCGGATAGTGACCACTCTGTCGTGTGATTTTTGGGATATAGTGTAATAGTGTTTTTTAAAATTGATTGTGAAAATGCGTTTTATTGTAATTTGTAAGTTATGTATCGGAGTATAAATTCAAATATAGCCTGTGGAGGTGCTAAAATTGTTAACTGTTTTGTTCTATCTTGTGTATCTTAATTGTTGGTCGGAGCGCGCATGAATCAAGTGATGTTATTGGACTATACAAGCAACATTGCTTCATACGCGCTCTCGGCGAACACGGTCTTGTCGGGATTTCACAGTATTGATATTATCTAATTTATAAATAGCCCTGTAAATAATATTAACAATTGAATAAATAATGAATATATTATAAAAACATGTTAATAGAGAACAATTCTGTGTAAATAATAGAGTACCTATTAAATTTAATATCACAAATATATCTTCTTTTATTTTCCTTGTGTACCAACCTAATCAAACGAAACCAAAAAAATACAGCCATAGGTCGTAGCTTAACTAGATATTATAGTTTGTCTAAATAAATTAGATTAGTTTTATAAATGATGCATATGAAGTATCGAATTCAATTTGTATGAAGGCAAATGCCATACTTGATTGACAGGTATCGTAATGACGAAACAAACACGCATAGCGAACAGTTTTGAACTGTCCATATTCGGTTTAAATAATTATCGAACTTAATTTTTTTTTTATAAAAAACGGGGGCAAACGAGCGGCGTGAACACCAAGGTGGTCAACGACGCCCATGGACATTCGTAACACCAGAGGAACTACAGATGCGTTGCCGGCCTTTGAGGAAATGATAGGCTCGCTTCTTGAAGGACCCTAAGTCGTATTGGTTTGGAAATACCGCCGAGGACAGACCGTTCCACAACGCGGCTGTGCGGGGCAGGAAGTTCCGCGAAAACCGCACGGTTGTGGAATGCCAGCCATCGAGATGGTGAGGATGATACCTGGCGGTCTGTCGTGTCGTCCGATGACGAAACTCGGCGGCAGGAATCGTTCCAAACAACTCCTCGGAACACTCCCCGTGGTAAATGCGATAAAAAATGCAGAGGGAACTGACGTCCCTCCGCAAGGCCAGAGGATCTAGCCGATCGGTAAGAGCTCGGTCGTTGACGATTCGAGTCGCTCTCCGTTGTATGCAGTCAAATGGAAGAAGCTGGTATTGGGGTGCTCCCGCCCAGAGGTGCGAGCAGTACTCCATCTGGGGCCGAACTTGCGCTTTGTAAAGTAGTAGGCGGTGGCCCGGCTGGAAGTACTGCTTCGCCCTGCTGAGCACATCCAGCTTTTTGGAAGCCAGCTTGGCCTTGTCTTCCAGATGACCGCGAAACTGAACGTCACTCGATATGTCAACGCCGAGAATACCGATACTGGCTGAGGCAACCAGGGGAGTGTTCTCAAACCGGAGATTGACGACGAAGGGTTCTTTTTTAGCGGTAATGGCGCATACTTGTGTCTTTTTAGGATTAAAATCGACAAGATTTTGTCGACCCCAATCCGAGACTTCACCCAAGAGGGTCTCCAGCTCAGACACAAGTTTGTTCCGGTTCTCATCGGCAATGGCCCGAGAAACATTAGCGCGGGCCGTGTACAGTGCATCACCGGTGCTATCGTCTGCATAACAATGCATGCTGCGTATACGCAGCATGTCATTGATATGCAGAAGAAACAGGGTGGGCGACAGTACACAGCCCTGTGGGACGCCAGCGTTAATTGGTTTAGGGTCAGAGCATGCACCGTCGACAACGACCTTGATGCTCCGACCCTCCAAAAAGCTGGAAATCCAGGCGCAGAGTTTCTCGGGCAGCCCGTAGGAAGGCAACTTCGAAAGAAGTACTTTGTGCCACACCCGATCGAAGGCTTTGGCCACGTCCAAACTAACTGCCAGGGCCTCCCCCTTGCCTTCGATCGCTTCCGACCATCGATGCGTGAGGTACGCAAGAAGGTCACCAGCTGATGGACGCTGACGGAAACCGTACTGGCGGTCACTGATCAGCTGGTGCTCTTCCAGGTACCTCATAAGTTGGCAGTTGATGGTGGTTTCCATGATTTTTGAAAACAAGAGGGTAATGGCAATAGGCCTGTAGTTGGACGGATCCGAGCTGTCGCCTTTCTTAGGGATCGGGTGTATAACGGCAATCTTCCAAGACTTCGGGACGGAGCCGATGGAGTACAGGAACCGGAACAAGCGCGTTAAAACCGGTGCCAACTCAGGAGCGCAAGATCTAAGCACAATGGGAGGAATCCCGTCTGGCCCACTCGACTTATTGACGTCAAGAGATTGCAGCGCTATTCGCACTGATCTCTGACGGAACTGGATTTCCGGCATAAAGGTGTCGCCGCACGGGATTTTCGGCGGCAAGGCACCTTTGTCCTCCAGAGTCGAGTTAGACGCAAAAAGAGAGCCCAAGAGATCAGCTTTCTCTTTTGTGGTATGGGCCAACGAGTTATCCCCCCTGCGCAAAGATGGTAGAGACGGCTTACAGACATTCCCCTGGACAGCCTTGGCGAGAGACCAGAACGCACGAGTCCCGGAGGGAAGGCGCACTAGTCTCTCACCAATGCTGGCCACGTGTTCTGACTTTGCCTTGGCAATCACTTTTTTGAAGGACCTGGAGGTAGAGTTGTACTTCTTTTTGAGAAGGCTGGTGTTTACATCCCTAGCCGCTGACGCCCCAGCCCAGGTCCGGTAGCAATCCTGCTTGTAGCGCGCAGCTAATTTGCAGGATCGACCAAACCAGGGCCGAGAACTGCCACCGATGGGCACAACAGATGACGGAATAAAGAGTTCCATCCCCTGAAGCACCACATCGGTGACCGAATCGGCAACGGCATCGGGATCATCCAGCTTGAAGCAAACTTGCCCCCATGGGTAGAATGCAAAGAAAGACCGCATCCTATCCCAGTCTGCTGACCTGTAGTGCCACACTCGGCGATGGCCATTCGGTTTGAACCGTGGGCGGCGCGAGAGAGGCACTGTTGTCCGGATCAGGCAGTGGTCCGACGAGCCCAGGGGGGCGTCGACGGAAACCAAATAGCTGTCCGGATGTGAGGTCAGCAGAAGGTCCAACAGGGAAGGTCTATGATCTTCCACATCTGGGATTCGCGTTGGCGAGGTAACCAGTTGCGTCAGATCATAGGACAAGGCAAAGTTGTGCACAGATCTCCCCGCGTAGTCGGTGGTGCTAGAGCCGAGCCATTCGGCATGGTGGGCGTTGAAATCGCCAAGCACCACGATTTCAGCTGAGGGAATCTGTGCCAGAACGGAATCTGTAGCCGTCTGGACTTGCTCCATGAGTCGGTCAATTTCGGCATTACCGCTATGGGACCTATAGAGGCACGCGTAAACTCGCGGATGGACATCGCCATCTACGCGTAGCCACAATAGCGATAGGTCCCTACCTTCAAGAAGGCTGAGGCGACGAGAACAGATATCCTCTCTGACGTACACGCATACCCCAGCCCGGAGCAAAAAGGAGTGTTCCAATTTGTATCCGGGGCAGGATAGATACGAAGTGTCCGCCGGAGAGGATAAAATTATTATTTTCCTTTTCACTAATTTGAGGACAATTCTAGTATTGTTTATAGAGTAAATAATTTAGCGATGACATAAATAATAGCGAAATCCAATTCGATTACGTACGGCTGTAGTAGCAATAAACATTTATTTACTCTCATTATTTGTTATGGTCATTGTTAATTTGAGAAAACAGTGTTTTTTTTTTATTTCATAAGTTATAACTATAAATTTATCGATTCCAACTTCTATAAGAATAAAAATCGAAAATCGATAAGATTCATGACTGATTTTACACAACCATCCCTACTAAATTTAAAAAGAATTGTCAAACTAATCTAAATTATATAGACACTATAATGGTCATTCGGTTTCAGCGCAAACAAGTACTAATCGTCTAACAATAAAGCTTTAAAATTTAAGTGTTGTCATCCTGCTCTAGGACCTACTTCTATAATCTTTGGTTCCAAGTCCCAACCCTATTTGACATCTATGATTATGACGTTTACATCTGACGTATGACATTTTACCTTCTGTTTGTGTATAAAAAATTGGAACGGAGCGAAAGTTGAGAGATAAAAGATTAGTTTCTTAAAAATCTGTTACTCATTTGAATTCTTTTTCTAAATCAATATGCCTTCTATGAAGGTCGAAGGAGATAGTGATGGTGATGGCGATATGTCCGGCGGGGACACTGAAAGATCTGGTGGATCTTCTAGAGGCCCAGATCGTGATTCCAGTGCAGAAGAAGCTGATGAACCTGATTCCGATGACTCCTCGGAGATGGACGAGAGTGAGTGCGAGAGGCGACGAAACGAATGCCTCGACAATTTGTGTAAGTTCATTTGACGTTTTAAGGTTATGTTTACAAACATTCGAGTGTAAGCTTCCGTTTTTCTGAAGCAGGAACAGGCTTGTGATGTAATTTCAAAAACTCTGCAATCAGCTAAAATAGCGCAGGCTACGACAAGCGTAAAAAAATAACGAAGTTAAGACATATAGACGTTTATAAACTGCAATACTTACTAATACTACTAATTATGTTGAATGTTTTAAGTTTTTCCAATTATTTAACTCGTAGAAGCTTTTCGACCACTATACACAAGTCCATTTATGGTCATTTATCATTGTATATGTTTATTCTTGTAGCATTAAGTCAGTAAATTTGTATTTTATACTCTAAATAAGTTTGTCAAATCAATTGTAGCATTAACTGAACAAATACTAAGCCTCCAATATTTATTTTAATTGTATTTGTTTATTAACATTATACAGAACCTTCATTTCTTTCTCATTTGTAATATTACTGTGGTAAAATTAAATCATTTTAACATACTTTATTTGTGATGTTCGGGTTTCCAGCAAACCTGGAGCATCAGTTCTCATTACTGAGAGAGCAGCTATACAACGAGAGAGTGAAGCATGTAGAATACCAGCTAGCGGAGGTCCGTGGTGGCCGGTCACAGGAATATTTAGGCCCTTTAAGACGACTGCAAGAGAATATGAGAGTTAGGTATGTAAATGTAAAGGTGGTAACCATAAATATCATAAATGTGTTTAGATTTATATATGTTTGTTAGTAACCTTTGGTATGGCTTTGATCTTGATGAAACTTGTCACAATTGTAAAACATATCCTAGAACAAGATATAGGCTGTCTTGCGTTTAATTCCACATGGTAGGAGTCGCGGGCAACAGCTACTGTTATATAATTTTTATGGAGTAGCTCTCGTCCACAACACTCTGTGTGGATATGAAAACAATTCAATGCAATCCATTCAGCAGTTCGGACTATAAACTAACAAACATCCATCTATCAAAATCGCATTTATAGTACATTAGAACCTCGATAAGTTAACGTCCACGGGAATATTTTATGTTATAGAGGTTTTGGGCTCTGATAGGAGGGGAATATATTGTTTTTTGAAGTTATAGAGGTTTTTAAGTTACCGAGGTTTGAGTTATCGAGCTTCTACTGTGTTAATAAGATAAATGTTCTATTTTTTTTATTGTAATTTTTAAGAATATCCTTTTTGGTTTATATTATAGTTTAGTCTAAGGTGTTGGTGATCTAACAGTTATGTTGTGAACAGGATTGAGGTGGCTGGTATACTGAAGCAGATGCGGATTGAGAATATGAAGCATATATATGATGCAGAGGAGCAAGCAGCGCATCAGCATTTTAAGGTATGTAATCCAATCTTTAAGCAAAATAAATGCTTTGTAATGTAATATTGAAATTTGATTAGAGAATTTTTAAAAATAAAAAGACTGTCGCGATATTTTTTTATTTAATAATTTAATTGATATTTACAGTCTTTTTATGTATACAAAGTTTATAATCATACTTCATACTAATATTATAAATGCGAAAGTTTAGATGGATGTTTGTAGCCTAAACGGCTGCACAGATTTCGATGAAATTCGGCATATATTCACAGTGGTAGAGTCCGCTTTAACATCTTAGCACGAATAGGCCGGCGCGCCCGGTGTAATACCACGACTACACAGAAAACAGGCGGGAAGTGGAAGCAATTTCGCGTTTCTTCTGATGAGTGTGGTGCCTGAGGCCTAATTTTAGTCCCTATCCCTTTCCACCCTTTTATTGGGAGGAAGGGGCGGGAGGGAGAGGTGGATTTGACGGTGAAGGAGACGCATAGGATGGGGAAATGTCCTCTTTACGTGCGTCTCCTCCTCCGTCAATGAAATGTAGGCAACGCATCTGCAATTGCGGATGTTTATGGGCAGCGGTCGCTTTCCATTTTGGTGTATGTATGTTGTATTACAAATTTCTTTCTAATTCGGTGTATCTTGTATTATAAAAAAAAAGATGATAGTGTGGAAGAACACATGGACTACTCACTTTTGTTTTTTTTGATGTTGACTTTTTTGGATATCGAAGAAATAATGAAATGTATGTGCTTTTAAAACATTTTTGTATAATAAATGAGTTGAAATGCATATCATAGATTTTATGTATCATTTTTACTTCTAAATAACAGTTTTAAAAGCGAACAATGTTATTTTTAACGCATTTTAATCTTAAATTGTTTAAACTATCGTGAGACATTACTTTAAGCGAAAATTAATTAAAAACGGCTCAACTCACGCTTTTTTCTTCCGGTGACGGCAC